GCGACGAGAATACCTAAAGGAAAAAATTACTTCTTGTAATTGACTCCTCTTGTTTTTAACTTAGACAGGCATTCAGATACCATTGTGATGGGTGCTGTTAACAACCTAATAGATTGCAACCTAATAGATTGCACATACACATGGGGGGGAAGCTATACAAACATGTTTTACAATGGAGGAGTGCAATATTATTTCTAAAATGTACAGCTCTGACAGTTTTATAGGAAATGCTGAGCAAAAAATTAAAAGGGAAATCTTGATTTGGAAAGCTAATCAACAGATTCTGCATCACCAGACACAACGCTACCAGTGTTTTTGGGTGTTTCGAATTGACAGGCACTATGCTCACAATACAAGAGAGTTATTCTGAAAAGCTTTCTGCCTGACTTCTCCCATTCCCACAGGTAAAATTGGAACAGTAACTGCAGTCATGACTACAATGGGGTTTCGGTGGGTGGATTTTTTTTAAATGTATGAACCAAGAGGATTATCCCGAATTCCATTTTTTATTTTTAAAATAGTCTCCTAACTGTGAACAGAAAATCCCTGATGAGTGACTAGTAAGTGACCAGAATCCAAAACAGTGAACTAATCACTGTCATTGGCAGGCCCATCACACTCTAGAGTGGAAGCAGGTGGGGAATCAGTGGTGGTGTTGATGTATAATAAAGCCACTTGGCAGATGCTGGTTTTCAAGAAGCCCAAGAACAGAGAAATGACGCACAGATGAGAAAACTGGGAAAATTTACCAATATAGTTAATCTCTGAGCTGGCAGATTTAACAATGTATTTATCTCACCTAATGCAGTTTCCCATCTACATCAGGAGTTGGCAATAATTTTTGATGGGGGGACAACTCCAAGATTTTGGAAAGTGGTTGAGGGCGGCACTCTTCCATGATATTAATGGAGAAGGTGCGAGGTCTGAGACGGAGGTTGGGTGCAGAAGGGAGCTTGGAGTAAGGGAAGAAGTTTTGGTGAATGAGGCTGTAGTGACCTGGGGCACTGGACTGAGTGCAGGGGGTTGGACTGTGACTTAGGGCAAGGAACTGGGGTACAGGAGGAGGTGCAAGGGGTTGGGTTGTAAACTAGGGCAGGAGGGGAGTGATCTGAGGCAGAGGACTGGGGTACCAGATCTGGGAGGGGATATGCATGCAGCAGGGGGGCAGAGAATTTGGGTATATGGAGTAGAGGACAGGAGAGGGGGGGGGCAGAGGGTTGGGGGAGGGAGACACCGGGATGCCAGAGGCAGGCTCTGGCCAGGAGACTTACCAGTCAGTAGCCCAGCACTTTCCTGAAGCAGCCTCTCTGCCTGCCCTGTCTCCACACAGGCTGCAGCCATGTCCTCTGTGAATAACTAGGAGCCTCGGAGGGAAGGGGGCACGGTGCTTCTGGCCAGTTTCCTAAAGCCTTCCTTCCTCCCCTTCAGGCTCACAGATTTTAAAGTGAAACCTCCCAGCAGCTGCCTTTCTGAGTGTGAGGGTGGGGCAAAGAATGCCTAGGGCTGCCCGCCGCATCCCCGGGCTAGATCCGGTGGCTTGGCGGGCGGTATTTTGCCCAGGCCCGATCTACATTGTGGGAGGGTTTTTCCTTTATATTAAAAACAGTTGCCATTAACTGACTTAAGGCCCATATCTTAGATATGTAGGGAAGGAGAATCAAAAAGCTTAAATTCCAGTGAAAGTCCACCTGCATACACACACTATTTATAGTTTTTCTCCCATGCATGGAAACTCAAACACCGGTCACTACATGTAAAAGTGAAAAGACCACTCTCATATAACAGCTGAAAGGGATTGAAGTGCAAACAATTAATTTAGACTGGTTTAATAACCAAAGGTGTTTGTTAATAGACCATAAGCATTTTAATGATACTTTTATATTTGACTGTTTCTTTTTAATATCCACTAATTATTGGTTTTAGTAACAGAGACAATGGAGAGAACACAAGAGAAACAGTCTCAACCGGTAAAATCCTTAACATTGCAGAAGGGGTACAGCCTATAAATACCAACATTAGGATCGGCCTCCTCCAGAGAACTTAAACTTCTGCATGTTTAGGTATACAATCCTGGGAAAACAGTTCTCCTAAGCTCTCTTATGCCCCTCCAACCCTTTAAAACACACACACACACCCACCCACCAATAGTCTGTCAAAAAGTATGTGTGTGTCAGTGGAGTAGATATGGAAAAGCCAATTTTCTGAAGGCTTTAAACAAATTATACTTATAGCATATGAAACTGCTACACTTGAGCTAGGAAACTTTTCTTAAATCTATTTTATTCTTGTCTCACATAAGGGAACCACATAAATGCTAAAAGAATAGAGCGAATACTATAGAGCGAATATGTGTAGAACATTCCATCTTAGAAGTAACACATACATTAAAAGGGACTTGAGGGCCTAGAACAACCAAAATTTCAGCTGACTCCCAGCATATATCCCATCCTACCCTGTACTCATTCCTCAGCTTCCAGCAGGAAATCTCTCCAACCAATTCAGATGGGCTCATTTCTTTCTTCCACCTCTGCATTCTTCATCTTCTGAAGTGAAGCAGCCTGCACATAGCAATTAGCTGTGTGCTGACACCTGCTACCCTGACATTAAATCCTATCTCCCAAAGTTTATTGTAAAATACATTAAAACTAGGTCTCAACGCTGCCCACATTTAAGTGTGTAACATACTGCACAGGAGTAATCCCACTGGCTACGTCTACATTGGCCCCTTTTCCGAAAGGGGCATGCTAATTTCACAGGTCGTAATAGGGAAATCCGCGGGGGATTTAAATAAAAATGTCCGCCGCTTTTTTCCGCATTTTTAAATAAAAATGTCCGCTACTTTTTTCAAAGTAGGAATAAGATCCTCTAGAAAAGGGCTTTTTTTCCGGAGGATCGGGGCCAGTGTAGACGCTCTTTTCCGGCTTTTCTAAAAGCCGGAAAAAAGCGGCGGACATTTTTATTTAAATCCCCCGCGGATTTCCCTATTACGACCTGTGAAATTAGCATGCCCCTTTCGGAAAAGGGGCCAGTGTAGACGAGCCCACTGACTATACAGTGTTGACAGGATTGGACCATAAATACATAATATTACCCACTAGCCAATTAGCCCGTCATAAGATGGGATTTTCAGGTCTCTCCTCCATGTCAGTCTTCTCTCCTGAGCCTCTGGTCTGTCTGTCTCTGTGTGTGTGTGTGTGCACGTGCATGTACTCCTCCTTTCTGCCCCCCCTCCAGTTCTCCTCCGCCTCCTGTCTCTCTCTTCTCCTTCTCCTCCCCCTCCTGCCTCTCACTCGGGGGACGCAGCAGCCTGGCTGAGCAGCATAGAAGTCAGCTGAGCGCCACGGCAGAAGGCGAAGGAGGGTGGGGTGGGGTGGTGACGTTCACGGCCAAGGGGTAGGGCCTGGAGCCGCTGTCATGCCGCACATCACCACCTCGCCCCCCCCTTTGCCTCCCACCATGGCGCTTGGCTGACTTCTGCGCCGCTCAGCCAGGCCGCTACAGGGGAGCAAGCGTCCGTTTAGGTTCCCCCATGGCAGCCCCGCTGAGGGGCGCCCGCAGAAGTCAGCCGAGAGCCATGGGGGGAGGGGAAGGTGGGCGGGGCGGTGACGTACATGGCCAGGCCCCGCCCCCTGGCCATGTATGTCACTGCCCTGCCCCTCTTCCCCTCCCGCCGTGGCGCTAGGTTGACTTCTGCACTGCTCAGCCGGGCTGCCGCAGGGAGCCAGCAGCACAGGCTGCCCAGAGGGAACAGCCAGCATTTCAGCATTACAGACTCTCAGACACTGGGCTACTATATATATGATTACACTATTTGTAAGGTTATTACAGTAATACTCGCTTCCAGAGTCATGTACTTTTACCAATTGACAAGGCCCCATTCTAAAACTGCTGCACGCAGAGACCAGCAGAATTTGGCTCTGCAGCACAAATGTTGCACAGGCTGACTCCTGGATTCACTTCAAATGTGCTTCAGTCATGCACAGGAATCACCATAGTGGATTCATGTAGTTCAGCATTCCACTACTATATAATTCTAGGGGAAAGAACCCAGCAGCAGGCAGAAATGGGATAAACTACAAGACCACCTCCACACCTCACTGGGTTTCACCCTGATGTGCAATAGTTAAGAGATTGCCTTAAATCAAGGGTGGAAAAAGGGACCACCACAGGACCCAGCCAGTGGCTGGCCCGGGCCTGGAGATGAGGGAGCACATGAAGTCTCCTCCTCCTAACCTTCGCAAAGGGTGCACGGCAGCTAGAAATGCTATTTTAAAAACAGACAGCATTTCTCTCTAGCTGTCGTACACATCTGGCAAGGCAGGGGGCAATAGACTTCCCGCACTCCCCCCAGCCCCAGGTCCTTATTGGTCTGGGGCTAGGGAGAGTGTGCGAGGTCTCCTCCCACTGCAGAGCTTAAAAAGAAATGCCAGCTGTTCTAAAACAGCTGGCAATTTTCTCTAAGCAAGGGGTTGGGGGGGAGGACATGACTTCATGAGCTTCCCCACCCCCAGGCCAATCAGGGTCTGTGGGAGAAGTCTCCTGCCCCTTCTGGGGCAGCCCAGGGCCACTTCAAACATTTATGAAGTGGCCCCCTTTTAAAAATGTATTGCCCACCTCTGCCCTAAATCCTAAGGCATTACAAATTTAGTATCCCTTTCAAGAAACAGAAATTATCAATGAAGATGACACTTGATAGTCCTGTGATACACATAATAATGAATATCAAACATTGGTTTGGTCTTGCAAAGATTTAAACCCTCTTCTTTGATGTCAGACTATAAAAAAGTTGTTTTTAAAAGATAAAAAATTTAAAGCAAGAGTGGGGGACCACAAACAAGTGAGAAGCAGAAAAAAAACCCAAAAAAACCCACCTCACTGACATGGCACCCTGACTGAGAAGAAAAAAAAGACACTCCCCACATTCTCCTTGCACACCAGAGCCTAGAGAGGCCCATCTAGATTTTGTGTGCTCCAGCTCTGCGATGGGGCAGCAGGGGGACTGGAGTGCAAGCACAGGGTCCCCAATGGGGGGGAAGTGGGAGAACACGCCTTGAAGGGCTAGATCCAAGCAAGGTGGGGGCTGCATCTGGCCCCCAGGCCTAAGGTTTCCCAACCCTGATTTAAAGCATAGTTCTGACCTATACCATGGAATGGCTATGAAAGACTTTAAATTATGGACAAATTCTACACACTTCCCTATACAATACTGTTCTCAAAAAGAGGACTGTCCCCATATAGTATAATATGAGGCATTATAAATATAACTTAAAGCAAATAGTTGGGGTGTATACACACACACACACACACACACACACCAAATAATATTTATTTGGTATATATATTATAAAATAGGTCCAACCCACAAGTCACCAATAATCTTGTTTTTAAAACAATATAAGAAATGCTAATACTGTCTTCTCATAATCCACAACTGATTGATACCAGTAACTGATCGGACACATTACTAAACAGTTAAAGTGACAAATTATAGCCACCAAAATCAGTAGGAATTTGATACCAAAAAACCACCTAATACACGAGTGGTATTTAATAGCCAATATCTTAATCAATGTCCAAGTAGTGTGACGTGTGATTCCGTGCTCTTTCATTCGGGGGTTACGCTATTGTGTACACACAGGTGAAAGAGAACGTGACGACTCTGAACCTTCGACGGAGAGAAGCAGAGTTCCAGCTCAGTTTTAAATGGCTTTCGCGCCTACACAAGGTTGGTGTCTTTACAAATAGGGGATACAGAATCAGCTCCCCCATTCTCGGCGCCTCTCTCCCCCCCCCCCCCCCAGTTCATGCCTGTTTTGCTGCTGTCCCTTACAATACCTGACCTATCCTACTGCTGCACCCTCAGCGTCCTCCCCAATCTCCACCCCCTCCTGCTGCCTGTGCCCCGCACAGCACTCTCCCCACTTTCCCGTCCCCTGCTGCCGCCCCCCATCAAGCTCTCGCTTCCTCTCTGTCAGCGAGCAAGCGCATGGGCCTCTCCGCTCCCCTAGATTAATTCCTCCGCGTGGAGCAAACACCAGGGCTCTCAGTGCTCCTTGCTCTGGCCCAGCCTTTACCTTCGCTTCTGCTTCCGCCATGGTGCAGCCGCCTGACAGTCATGTGAGAGGCCCCTGAAAGTCAGAGGGCGGCGGAGGCAGTTTGGGTAACGTAGTTTTTCTACTTCCTCTCCCTCGGCTGGGCTTAGAGCTTGCAAAGCAAGTGCGGGGGGGCATCTGCACCTGTGTTGCCATGCCCTTGCTGGGAGGCGGGAAGGGGAGGGAATTAAGCACATTTACAAACTAATAAGGGAGTTTAATGTTTGTGCTTGCCTTAAGGACAGGCAAAACTAGCTCTTCGTACTGTGCATCATTACCATACAATAATAGTGACAGAGCATTGCCAGCCCCAACCACTGAAAAAATTAGTAGCTAGAACCCCCCCCCCCCCCCCCTTCAGTGTGAACTTGGCATTTTCATGCTTTTTGCCTCAACCATGAGTGCCTCCTCTTTAAAAATGAAAGTTTGAAAGCCTGATGAATTGACATGATTCCAGAAGCTGGGGCTTTAACGAAAAATACCAGTTAGGAGACTTAAAATATAATGGAGAGAGTTGGAATCTTGGTCAGTTCCATAGGAATTAAAAGCTGTTGCTAACTGTGTGAACTTGGCATTTTCATGCTTTTTGCCTCAACCATGAGTGCCTCCTCTTTAAAAATGAAAGTTTGAAAGCCTGATGAATTGACATGATTCCAGAAGCTGGGGCTTTAACGAAAAATACCAGTTAGGAGACTTAAAATATAATGGAGAGAGTTGGAATCTTGGTCAGTTCCATAGGAATTAAAAGCTGTTGCTAACTAATGAAAGTTTAGTAGCCCCACATAAAATGATGTTGAGAAGTTACAGATCCCATTTCTCAAACCCACCACCGGGCTTTGCATTGAATTGCAAGTTCTTCAGTTTAGGAAAAATTGTTACTATGGCTATGTCTATACCGAAGTGTTATTTTGGAATAACTGACGTTATTTCAAAATAACAAAATGCACGTCTACGCAGCAAGCCATTATCTCAAAATAATGTCGATGTGGAGGACTACTTACTCCGACTCTTGTAACCCTCATTTCATGAAGAGTAAGGGAAGTCGAACAAAGAGTATTTTTCCTTCAACTTTCTGCTGTGTAGATAGCTCTAAAAGCCGATTCAAGCTATTTTTATTTCAGCTACGCAATTGACACAGCTGAAGTTGTGTATTTTAATTTGACTTTTGCCTGGCTAGGTAGACATGGTCTACATGTTTGAAGAGAGTCTAGCACATTGAGACCCAGCTCTCAGTTGGTTTCACTAATCAGAGGTCTTGAAGCGGGGACCAAAATCACCTTCTTCCAGTATTGCCAATTCCCATTATTATTATTTTATTATTTTATTTTATTTATTTTATTTTACAGGTGATAGGATTTTGGTTGGGCTAGAGCAAGAGGCCAGTAAAAAGAAGTAAAGCTCCCAGTCTCCAGCAAATTTGAGCTCTGCCTGCGGGAAGACCCCCTCTAATAGCTGTCTCACTCACTTGCCCACCGCTTTGGGGCATAGTGACCAGTCAGAGCTACTGTAGGAAGAATACTCCCTTTTTTTCTCATAAAACATAAGCTCTTACCACTTATTAAAGGAGTCTCTCTATTACCTGTGTCGATCTATAATCCATTATACATTAACAGAACTGTAAAACTATGCAAGATGGAGCAAAAGCATGAGCAAGTTGACTACAATACAGGTCAACAGTAGAAGCAATTTTAAAATATTTAAAATCTCATAAAAGAAAAGAGAGAGTCTTTCAACAACTGATCAGGAATAACCCTGCTACTTTTCACAAGTAGCTTTATATTTTTAATTGTCTTTAATACTGTGTGCCAAGCTGACATTTTATAGTTTAAACCCTTCTTTTTTGGGTTGGTGTGATACACATATGTGATTTCCCTTGCATGAGATTCTGGGGCATAACTCAGGCCATTTACCTAATCTCCATTATGGCATATATTTAACTGAAATAAACCAATTCGGACTAAGGGCTGGAGCCTGCACAAAAGTGTTCATATGCTTCTAAGGGATGCATGTCCACATAATAGTTGCATACTCTGGCTTTAGAGTATCAGAAAATATTCTCCCTAACATATGTCAGTATTTTAATATATACCATCTTTTCTTGTTGTTTTAATACCAAGAGGGTCTTTTTTCTTGTGTAGATTTTAAACCAATCAATTACATCTACTAAAATCTGGGAATACACAGTGAAATCCTAGCCCTATTAAAATCAATGGCAAATTGCTCATTGCCTTCTTTGGGGCCAGAGATTTCATCAAATATCTAATGGATAAGCTTTCATACTCTCTGAAAGTATGTGGCATTTTAAAGTAAATAAATACTATTAACTGATTTATAAATGCCTAAAGCTAAATGTTTGCTATGAAAATGACAAAGACCTGGCAAATTTTGGTTCTTTAACACATAAAAGAATATGTTTGTCACAGAGAAAGCAGTTAAATAACAGCTGTTCTTATTTTGACCAAACATAGAATAAGTGGTATAAACAATGTAATTTACTTACAATGTTCTTCGTTCTTATTTTTGGCAGAAAAGCACAAAACTAATTTTTGTTTGTTCATACTTAAGGTATGAATTCAATCTACCATAATTACAAGTGTTTATTGTATCAGGCAAATTTAATATTTTAACACCTGATTCTGCCTCTTGGGAGATGCTGAGAACTATTCGCTTGTAAGGTCATCAATGAGATTTGAATGTCTTCAGCACCTGAGGCATTCAGCATCTGTCAGACTTAGGCCTTTACAGAGCATCTTTCATTCTCAATCAACATTTAGAAAGAAAATACTTAGTAAGGATGTAAAATCCCATTTAATTGGTTAACTGGTCAAACTTTATGTTTAAATGTAATGTTCAACCTATAAACCAATTAAAGGAGAAGTGGGCAAAAGGGTGGACAGGGGCTGCCGGGGCAGCTCCTTTCCTATGGCAGGTGGGGAGCTGCTCCAGTCCTAACTGGTTAACTGGAACTGGTAAGCCTCACTCAGTAAGGCTCACTCACCCACATTCCTATTACCTACATTTTAGTGTAAATAGAAAGGCAATGCTGTACAGGGCAAATGTTGTATCCTGTTAAAACATGCAACAGAAATTACCATTGCATACATTTCCTTCATGGTGCTGGGGACACTATGCTTACAAAAGTGAGGGTGTGAAGGTTTGGGTCAGCCAGTTAGACAAATATGGGCCATTTGGGATGCAGGTTCAGATTCCAAACACATCAAGTTTTGGTTTAAGCATGTTTTTAGAATCAGAGTAATACTCTGGCAGTACTGCTAGTAGCAAAAAAAAAAAAAAAAAAAGCGCACAGTTTTCATAAGATACTCAAATATGGGTTTTAACATTATCACAATTGGATTTTTTTAAAGTTTGTACTATCTCCTGTAATACAGAACTTCCAGTTCCATGGAGTTCCGTAGTGGTCACCTAAAAGAATGCAGATCATGTGCTGTCTACCAAGTATTCAATTACAAAGCTGGATTTCAAATGTTCCAAAGTACAGATGAATTTTTGTCTAGTTTTTTTATTTATCCTTTTATAAAGATCAGATTTGTCATTGCAATATAGGTCTTGATCCATGTTCAAATTCCAAACACCACCAGAATGCAGATCTTGGGTTTTTGCTTTCCTTTTCTCTGCCTTGAAACATGGTAATTGCAAGTATCCGTACCACTTCCTAGATATTGATGTGTCTCTGGTGCTAAGAGCACTTAGTCTGTTTCAAGTAGGACTGATTCAAATAAAACAAACTTCAGCTGAGTTATCTCCCTCGACCCCCACCACCACTCACATTGTTAAGAAATGTCTATGACTTAATAGCATTTAAAAACACTTAAGCCTGATAAAACGAAGCTAATATTGTCATCAAAAGAATAGAAGTTCAAAGGCTTTTCTCTCTTTTTTTTTTTTTTTTTTGGTGTATGTTTGGATTTTACAAAGAAGCTTGCAAAGTCTTTTTCTTTATCGCATACCATCAAAGAATTATTTTTGTGAGTCTATTCTCAAATTGAACCCTAGCTTCTATGAAGTTAACCTTGAGCTTCTTACAAAATTGCATGCTTCATAAAATGTTTGTATTTCACATGGTAGCATTATATTGTTTTGAAATACCACCCACCTACCATCCTCTTTTAATACTTTTTAGTTCACTTTAATATATGTTTTATGAGATTAAAAAAAATTATTTCACAAAGGATGTGATAACCCTTTACATTACAAATGAGAAATATTATGCACATATTCTTTTATGATTAGGGGTTAGATTGTGAAATACTGATTGTGGCTCAGTAGCACCTTCATTTACAATTGCTCCCATTGACTGTAATGGGAGTACTTACGGGATAATATGCAATGCAGTGGGAATGAGGCTATCACAATCTGGCCCTAGGGAAATCCCTGATCCTGTAAAGATTTATGCACATGCTTAACTTTGTGTACTTTAAGCAGTTAAGTTTCAATGTGACTACTCATATGTGTTACGCTAAGTCTATATGTAAGTCTTTACAGAATCACCATCTAATGTTGCACATAGCCATTACATTATAATCACAAAGTGCCATATGATCCCATGACTTTTATACTAAAAAACTTAACAATTTCTCTCAGAGTTAATGTTCTAGGATAACATTTTCAAACGGATCTAAGTGACATAGTAGACCAAGGTCCCATTGACTTTCACTTTAGTACTGTTGGCATCACAGGTGTATATATGCATGTGTGTTAAATTGAATAAAATACAGTGTATGAATGCTATACTAATTGTGTTCTTTAAACAGATTTCAAAGTAATCATACCATTTAAAAAAGACGAGGTAAAAAGTGGGAGCATTTATGATACACATGTTCTACCATTACATGGTACTTAATAATTTCATTAAATTGTTAATCAACATTTACTGCAAAAGTGAAGGGCATGGATAAGAGCATGATTTCTGTTACTTATACTTTAAACCCATTGATTTATGTGCTCTGCAGTTAAGTTTTCTCAAAAGTATTCTGAATTGTCTTCAAATACTCAAGGAAAATTAGGGGAATTTTTTTTTTCATCAATTCCCTCCCCCAATCTATTTTTTGTTTTACGATTATCAGAATAAATTTATATAGAAAATGAAAAAGTATGAAGAACAGTAAATGACATAAAGCCAGTACAATTATCTATTTATTAAAGGTAAATGAGGGCTAAGCTGAAAGGGGCACTCTGAGTCCTCTTAAAAACCTAACACTTTAAAAACAGAAAGGAGCAGAGGGTAAGCTTAAGAAGGAGAGATGATTCTTGTCTCACAAGGTAAGAAACAAATATATATGAGAAACAGATGGACAGTGACAGCCAGGTCCCAAAACCAGCAGAGCCACAACAGTTGTGTTATGTAATGGAAATGAAGAGTCCTTACAGGGAAACTCTGAAATCCCTCAGGCTCATGGATCTGAGGACTTGGTGGTTTTTCCAAGGGACCACAGAGCAGGGATTTGTTGACAAGCCTGAGGACTGATGGAGGATATAGTTAGTGGATTCAAGAACTAATAACCACCAGTCCATTGTAGACCGGTTGTAACAGCAGCCCATAGATGAAGCTCTCAGCCCATGGAATATATAACTATCAAATTCCAGAAGATAGATGCCCTACTCCCTCTCTCTGCATTGGTTTATTTGGTTCCCTGTTTAAAAGTTGTTCCCTAACACTTTTTATAGAGAATCAAGATTTAATTCTGAATGTTGGGAAGAAACAGGCAAAAATGGGAAAGATCTTCCTTTTGGATTTATTAAATTTTTATTGCCCATGTTTTCATTTTGTAAAACCCAGAACGATTCAGTTCAGTGTCTCAAACATTTAGTGGGGGGACAAATGGTTTCAGGTTGAATCAGTGTCTATTTCAAATACAAATTAATAATCAAAAAACAAATATTTTTCTGGTTTGCAAAACCTTGCCTTTTGTATAATTGGATGGGTCCAACACAGCCTGGTTTTCTCTGATTTCCAAAATTCCTTATTTGTGAAAGGGATTCAGAAAAGTGGTTCCAGTTGTGTCTCATCTCAGTTAAGCTGTGCATGTAAATAGTGAACCTGCCTGCATATGTGTAAAAGGAAATCTTCTTTATAAATAGGCTATGCTTACATCTGACCTATTTGTAAGTAATGTATATACAATCTATGAACCAATATGACAATGATTAGATATTTTGAGCCTTAATGGACATTTTGACTGGGTGAAAGCTATTACAGTATTTCCTGGGCAGCAGCATCCACCACTTACACACAATAACCATATAGTCATATGTGAGGCACTATCATTTGTCTCTAAAATAAGTTCATGCTAGAATAACTGGAACATCTTAAATATCACCTTGTATTGATTGTTGATATATTTTAACTTTTTAATGGCAACAGTGTAATTGAGGAAAGTGTTGACAGTTCTCCAGACAGGTAAAGCACATTCAAGGCCTCAATCTCCTTTCCCCTGCAATGGTTTTACACTGGTGTAACTCAGTCCACTTCACTGATTTACACCAGTGGAAAGTCCCAATTCAGGAAAGCATCCCTATTTAGGTTAGCACTTAAGTACATGCTCAACTTGAATCATGTGGTTAAGTCCTATTGGAGTCAATGTACAGATATAAATATACATAAACACCTTTTTATATGTGACATTTTAATGCCTACCATAGCCAGACACATCTCCCCTCTCCCGCATTTGCTTTTTCAGCTGCAGTTTGATCAGTTTTCTGTTATGCGAGTAGCGGAACTCCCCAATAATGTTAGAGGCTTGCTAAAACCACATTGCTTTAATAGAATCAATTGTATTCATGCTTATGAATATGTAATCTGTCAAATGGTTGAAGTGTATGAAGTGTATGAAGTGCATGAGGAAGTGTGAATAAGAAACTGTCAATCATAAGGCAGTACCACATATGTTACCTTTTATGGCTATGAGGAAGGATCCTGCAAAGTGCATAAATTGATGGTAGCCTGGTGGGGATTCTCCTCAGAAAAGATGCAACAGCACACTAAGCTCAGGACTGGACCGGAAGCAGTAGAGCTCTTCTGCTCTAGATCCGAAGGGACTCCAGGGACTCTCGTCGCCTCATGGCCGATCTCCAGGAAGCTGTAGCCTGGCCAGCCTCAGACACTTGTGAAATTGAAACTAACTCTTGCTGCACTTACAGCTTGCCTCCAAACTGCCACCATGACTGTGATGTGTGTGTAAGTATTGCTGTAAAAATCTATACCAATAAACAATCCTCAGTGCTGCTCTAGTTCACCCTTTGTCTAGGCTTATTCCTTGGCTGTTTTCAAGGACATGTAACACCTACTTCTACTGAATAAAATCAAATTTGAGTGATGAACCTCCAACTCAATTACTCTTCAATTACTCTTCAATATAGTGTGCACCGATCCCCCATTCAACAAAGCACTTAGCGTGTGCTTAAAAATACACATGCTTGAATTGCATTGAATTAAGCACACACTTAAGTGCTTTCCTGAATCATGCCCCATGGGCTTTCCCTGGAAGAAATTATACACTACTCCAGATATTTAGTCTTCTTATATAGAGGGAAAAGACAATAAGATTGCCTCCTCACTATTGAGATTGCAGCCTTATAGACTAGAAATTACTAGCAGACCACTAATTTCTCTCCAGTGATAACAGCATTGTATGTATTCCCTTTCTTCTTTCTAGTTTGAATTTTACCTATGACAAGTATTCTTTCATGATAAATGTTCACCAAAAGAGCCAAGTTGTGCAGCCATAAGTCAGATAAAACTCCCATTGACTTCAGTGAGGGAGTCAGTTTCCAAAACAGAGCTGTTTTCACCAGATTCAAATCCAGAGAAGATATGGACTATCATATGTTGATTTATATAGTGGACAGATGAGCCATCACGGAGATCTGAAGATTCTCTTATTATGACTTGGAGCTACTTACTTCCTTTCCATGGCAATGTCTAAACTACAGGCTTCTTTCAGAAGAAAATTTTTTTGGAAGAGATCTTCCAAAAAACTTTTTCCAAAAGAGAGCGTCCACACTGCAAAAGTGCATCAAAAAAGCGATCTGCTTTTTTGAAAGAGATCATCCCGACCGAATGGACGCTATCTCACATTTCAGCTGTGATTACTATGGACGGAATGGTCACCAGGGCACCTGTGCTTTTTTCTCTTTCCTCTTCTTCTGAAAGAACTCCCTCTTCCCCATCCACACATGCCTTTTTGCAAAAGAGCTCTTTCGCAGAAAGGGTTCTTCCTTGTAGAATAAGGATTACCAGTGCTGGAAAAAACCCTCTTTTTTTTATATATATATATATTCTTGCTGAAGAACGCAATTGAAGTGTGGACGTTCACCAAGTTTTATCAGAAAAACAGCTGTTTTTCACACAAAACTCTGTAGTGTAGACATACCCCAAGTCCTGGTAAATCTCTACATTTGTATCGCATCTTTTTTGTAGTTAAATGTTCATAATTTTGCTTGGAAATCCTTTCTGACTGAGGCATGGGCAGTATCTATTTGTATCTCTTTCACTTTCTTTGATTACACTTAATTTCATTTTGCTTCTGGTTGTTTTTCTCTTGTCTTCATCCCTTGGGGATCAGATCATTGTTGGTGGCACTTTTTCTGTTCTTTTCCCTTTGTAAGTATTGTTTCTATTTTTTCCTGGTATTTCCTGGCATATTCTGCTATTAAAAATTGTTAATTATATTGATCTTAATGTTAAATAGACCATAGGGAAACAATATCTGTAATTTCCAATGAGAAACATTTGATTTCTTTTTTTGACAAACACATAACCTCAAGGAACAGTACTTAGCTTTCCACTTTCCCATCTATTGTACGTACAGATTCTTATTTTTCCACACAGAAAATGATTGATGAGGTTATCAAAGTCCCTACCTTGAGAAGTATTGCACTCTTGAAGCTCATAATATTGTGGTTATAGGGTTGGACAATCTTACTCTAGTATTTTAAAACAGAGTAAATTTTCAACCTTTATCGTATTTTTATTACACTTAATTGCTAGCTTTTATATAGTCATTCTTAAATGAGATTCAGAGTGAAAGAAAACTGAAGACTAAGGAACAAAAAGGAAAAGGATGGGTTAAGAAGCAATATATATTGATTACTTAAGGCCCAGCAATACCCCTTTCTCAAATAGGTTAGTATATTACACATCTTAAGATTCAGGATGAAATCCTAGCTGATCACAATTTTGGCATCGACCTCAGTGAGGCTAAGGTTTTACCTGAAGAATCCAAGATGCTTCATTTTCTGATTATATGACCATTAACAACATTGAATGGATATTAAAATGACACTATCCCTTGCCTGTAGAAGATGTTCCTCCAAATCAAAGTTGAGGAACAGAGCTGACTAGTGTGGAGAAGCTCTTCTGTGGCTCTACAGATGACTTCATTCTCAGAGATTGCAATATAACTGCCTTCATAAGCACCATATTCACCCTGCTGAGCTACACTCTAGGACTATCATTGTATTGTAGCAATATCTGTGCAGGACATTAATGTGCAGCAACCTCATTTGGTTTAGATTTATACCTTGGCTTATGATGTATTAACTTGTGGTGTAGACAGTCCTAAGTAGGTCAATTAATTTCATGATGTGGGCTAAAGTGAATTAAAGTGGTGTAAGCTGTAGCATATTGGCACAACCTACAGGATGCAATCAACATGAGAGGTCCCATTAATTTAGTGGCACTATTTGCATTGTAATATGGTGCTACCCAGCTTGAATAACAGTGGGAGAATCTAGTCCTTTCTTATGAAAAGAACAGAAACCTATATAACAAAATACACAAAATTGTTTACTATTTCTTTTTTCAGAGTCATAGGGTTAGATTCTGATACCTTCATTCTTATAGACTAGTGCTTTCTTCCATGAGTAGTCCCAGTATCTTTGATCGGAACTGAAGTCCTAACTCCATTGAATTAACTGAGATTATATAACATGAATGTTGCAAAATCTAGCCTGGCCATTAGTAGCTACCCCAGTGTGTCTCAGTGAATTCACTTTTTCGTTGTACTCTCCAGTTGTAGTATTATTTAGTTACCTCAGATACCATCTCTTTTGAGACCACTATCTGAGTATGACAGACATGTACAAAATTATTTACATTTCTAGAAAATGTACAATATTTGCAGTTGCTGCGTGTCAGCACATTGAGGGCTTGATTTTTATTTACAATAACAGTCCTCTTCCCTGCTCTGGTAGGGAAAAGGGAATTTAATGTGGGAAAAATTTATAAAGGCCTCTTTAAGGCCCCTTTACACTACCAGAGTAGTGGAAAGAGGCCCTTTAAATGAGAATTAGGCCCTGAGTTTCTAATTTTTCTCCCTTAGTCATAAATTCCCACACCTATGAGACCCACTTTCCATTTACTGAAAGTACAATCCTCGCTGAGCTTTGTGTTTTCTGAGACTCTAATCATAGCCTTGCTTTAAAAAAATTCTCATAAAAACGACTGCTTCCTTCATTACATCTTTTCCTACTTGTATCAATTTTTTCCTCTACCTCTTACAAATACGAAGGAAAACCTATCTTTCCCCCTCCTCTTACATCCCCTCAGGATTTGACCCTAGACCACATAGCTGAAGTCTTACAGTTCACCCCAGGACAATCCTTGATTATGAAGCAATGTCAGAGTCAAAATCCAGGTCCCTGGTGTACAGGGTAGTGCCTTTAAGTGGTGCCTGAGGTAATATACAGATTACTTAAGTACTTCCTCTTGCCTCTGTCCATACTTCCAGTGAAATATCTTTCAGTGAAATGCATTTTCAAGGAATTCCATTTTGATCTGGAACACTATCAAATGCAAGTAATATATTTGTAGATTTAAGCAATTTAAAATATAAGACTATCCATATTATGGTATGCAAATGCTCCTGACTTAAAAAAATATTGTATCATCTTCCCATCTCTACCATAGAAGTACAACTAATGAAAGGTAAACAGTCATGTTGAAGTCAGCGGTCCCTACTAAGGAAGTGATTCACCTTCAAAGACTTCAAAAGATATGAGTATTTTGCAGACACAAGACAATACAGCTTTTACATGAATACACATCATTCCTCCAGCATATGGTTAGAGTATAAAAATGTTAATGAGATGATTGCTATCCACAATAGATATGGATAAATACAGCTGCTGCAAGGAAACACTGCGACTAACACTCCAAAGAGCTTTTTTTAAAAAAAATTTGCAATATGCTGTTTCCATTCTTTTCATTCTTTAGACTAAAAGCAGGCATTTTGAGGATAATCAGGCTTTCCTGAACCCATGGGTCAGATACTGAGGGACTGTGCAATCATTGCATGCCAAGTGTTCAAAGCAGTGGCAAGATGTCATTATTCACCCCACAACAAAATGAAACCTGGGATTTACTTTGCTAAGAAAGGCCAGCTGTGCATCATTCAGTAGATTTTAATAAAATGCAGAGAGGCAGTCTCAATTTTACATGTGCCTACAGGGATTTCCATGCTACCAGCAGCTCTTCTCCCCAAAATCCTTACTACTATTCAGAGGGGCACCAAAGCATTTGACAAATAGTAATGTATTTTAGCCTCACTGTGCCCCATTTTACAGATAAGAAAACTGAGGCACAGTGCCATTGTGGAACTAGCACAAATTGACACCAGAAATCTATGGTGGAGCAATGGCAAAACCAGGGTTCTCCTGACTCTCAACCCTATGCTTCAACCCTTGTTTCCTCTGGTTTTATCTTTTTCCATTAAGCAAATATTGATTTCCCTCCCCTGCTTGAAAATGGAACAGAAATTAACATGGCTCTTTTTGGGTTATTTCATTATTTGTGGACCCTGTGGGAATAGTATTTATTAGTTACTTTCCTTTGCTTTTCCAGTGGAGGCACTGAGAACATTTTTATTTGTTTGCTAGAAGATTGACCCGGCATTGCTGCTGGGACAGTCTTGGATGGGGAGCGAGCCACCAGCCAGCCCCTTTCACCTGCCTGGAGATTCTGTCTCTTTTCTGTATGGTTTTATGCATCCCTATACAAATTGCAGGGGGCCTTCAATGCCCCCTCACTCCCACACAACCAGACCTTTTTCTTGCTTTAGATTATAATAAGAGGAAGGTTTATACCAAATTTGATGGTCCTAAGTCTTACTGTTTGGGAGGAGTTCCTGAACAAATGGACTCATAGACAGATACACAGATCCACATTTCTAAAATATA